AAAGACTCCCCCAGTACACACCAAATGCTTTAACTCAGATTAACAAAACAATGCAAGATATATACTACAAAAGCGAAAAACACTTGGCTGAAAGATGTAGTTCTTGCTAAGAAGTACATATGACAAACATGCCAGCTCCTTTAAAAGAAACAAGACAGATCTAAATCGTTATTAGATTTCTGTTTGCTTATTTTTTCCAAGACTGGCAGCATTTATGTAACTTTTCTTGCTTTAATCACAGATATGATGAAATCTGATGTCTCCAATATTTTTTACAGCATACATTACATATGTACATATATACCTTTAAGAATCTGAAAACCACATAGGGAAATGAAAAAAAGAAAGATTAAGCTCAGTCTTTGAGCAAGCTTGACTGTTTCAAGCTTTGGGATGAGTTGTTTCATTGCATATGGACTATAAAAGAAGATTGTAAGTTATCACAGAGCTTAGCATTCAGCATATATATCTAGATGCAAAGAGGAGGTGTCTGATTCTTAGCAGGGGAGAAAAAAAACAGCCCATGAATCCAGCAAGAAGGAACACTAAAAAGTAGGATGAGAAAACAACCCTGTATAAATGATGAAGCAATTTGAGATGACAGTTTATCTGAAAAGAGGGGTTAATAAATATTATCCAGCATAGAAGGAGATAAAAAGTAATCAAACAGTCCATTTGCTCTTTCCTGGGATTATAAGAACTTAAAATAATTTCAATATCTTTAATTCTGTCCTTATTTTCCCTAAGTATATGCATTGCTTGTTGGCAGTTCCTGATGAACAATGACTACTGCAAAATTCAGATTTATATTGCATCTGTGCTACTGTGTCTATTTGGAGACAAAGTGGGGAGGGTTCTTACAACTCGTAATTTCAGTACCTGAATTCAACACAGACCAGGTAAGCCACAAAATCACTTGCCTTGATGAGGAACCTTCTGCCAGTTGCTGAGGTGCAAACAAGCTGAAGTACCACCCAGACCAGTCAGTCCCCTACTTGGCAATTAACAGCCACTGCTTTGCTGAGGACCAATTCAGTAGCAACAAGGCTCTCTATTTATATGATAAAAATCAATCTTGGGGCTTTTTATTTGGGTGGAATCTGTACAGACTATGCCAACAAGCTCTTGGCAACAAAGCTTTAGACCTCCTGTATTTCTGTACGGAATTTCCATCACAGAAGGACCTGTAGACTCGACTCTGTAGGCAACACATCCTGAAAGCCAGAAGCACTGAGAATGCACGGACTACCAGTGCACCAAACACACAGCTAGGACTTAGCCAATTTAAGTGTGTGTTTTTATATTAGTGTGTGCATCTGCAGTAAATTCAATGCCCTAAACTACACATATTCTGTATGGCTAGCTGAGAGAGAGAGAGAGAGAGCGCGCGTGCGCACGAGAGAGAGAGAGAGAGAGCACGCGCGAGAGCATAGCCTTAGTGTAGCCACAGTCATAGGCAGAGTCCCAAGCTGGGGTAATATAACAGCACTCTAAGATGATTACCTTCTTTGCTAGGTTTTTACTGGATAAAATGAAGAATGGAATATTTCAAATCTCAGCCCAAGTCAGCTACAATTTTGGATGAAAATCATACCAACTTGTCTCCACTTAAATATCACATAAACAGTTTCTAATGTAATATATTTTATAAATGTCTGAAAAAACATATATATACATTTAAATTAAGCAGTAGATCAACGATTTATTGTACTATTCTCTATTGTCTAACTCAATTCTCATTCAAGATTGAATTCTGGCTCACTCGTATTATTGATAATACATACCTCGGTGCTGTTGCTTGAAACTTTGCTACAACAGCATCATTCACACACACACAATTCTTAAAGGAATTTTATTTGAATGCATTTCTTCGTTTAGTGAAACTTTAGTGGAAAAATATATAGGTCCAGATTCACCAAGATTTGCTTTGGCATMGCTCTTATTTTAAGCATAAAGACGCTGCACTTTCATCTTGCATTTGAGCCACTCATCATTCATCATTAATTGACAACAGTAAAGAACTCCGTATTCTCAAACTCTGTCAAGATTAGACTTAGGCTGACAAAAGACAAGTTAAACTTATATAATACTTATTATACTGTATTTCTCTGAGTATATAAATGTAAAGCTGCCAGTAAAGTTATAGAGGAAGCATTGTCACTTGTCTCTAATGTTCTCCTGCTGCTGGTTTTCCTTCCCCAGTAAGGACAGACGCAGAACTACACAGCAGAACCAGCCATGTAAATAGTTTGCTGCTACTTTTGCGTGGTTGGGGACAAGCCCCTCTTGCTCACAGCCCTCTGCTCCAATGTTACTCCATCTCCCCGTGTTACCTCCAGAAATTGGAGGTTAAAGAGCAGCTATGAGAAATGGTGGCAACAAGACACAAARTTTTGTGGAGCAACACAAAAGATTAGGAAGTGCTGAGCTTAGGCGCATCTTTCAGGAAAACGAATCCAGATAGTTTAAGTGTTGAGGCCTGTCAGCTCCAGCAACAACCCCAGCAAAGTGATGCAGGGGCACGTTATTCCAAAGCGGGCAACTTTGCAAAACACCATCAGAGGACAGGAAGCCGAACAGGGCCAGGTCCTTTTTCAGTAGATGCAGCAGGGCTATAGTTTACCTTTCAAAGAGGGAAATATTATTTCTTTTAAAAATCCCAGTACCTACGTCTCCTATCTTTTCTTCTATACAATTAAGCAATATCACTTAAGTGACACCTGTTCCCTAGGCCTACACACATTCAGCCATCTACGATGGATATTCTAGTCATTCCTTTGCTCTCTGCTCAAGTTTCCTGCATCTCTACGATTGCTTTTGTACATAAAAGGCTATGCTGCTGCATCAAATGGTATTGCAAATTCCAAATATTTAAGGAGACAGGTAACACATTACAATTGCTTAAGTTCCTCCTCACACATCATGTACACAAAAAGAGTAACTTGATAAAAAAAATCAATTTGTCTATAAAATGAGTAATGCAATTCTGTATAATTCTTCTTCTATAGAGTCTATATCACACTTTAAAATCCTGATTTAATCAGCTTTTCATTGTCAGCTTTTATTTGTATATTAACATTACAACTGAAATGACAGTTCAAGAAGCAAAAAACAGCTACACATGTTTGATGTTGTATGCAAAAGCCTTAGATATTTAGCAACTTCTTTGATGCTTTGATCTCTGAAGAAATCTTACTAAAATTATGATCAAAGGAATTTATATTATTCCAAGTGCTTAAGAACAAACCATCTTAGGGCAATAATCAGTATTCTGTTTAATCCTTCACCCTTGGAATCCATTATTTCTAAGCACCTCTATCTGATGGGACTTACATTTACTTAAGGATGATACTCTCCTAAAGCAGAATTAGAAATAACAGAAAGCAACATTTCTGTCTCATACAAAGAGCTATGAAAGAATTAGATTTTATTCTACTGACTGAAAAGTGTTCTTTGAAGCAGTTTTTTAAAAGTACATAACTTAGGAAACTAGGTAAACAGTTCATTATAATGAGACCCTTCAGATTTTTATTTTCCTACAGGACACAAAGAAAAATGTATGTATGTTCAATACACAGCTACTTTTAATTTAATCTATTTCTAACCCTTTCCTTCTGTCAGTGTTTATAGAAGAGTATTACACAGATAGATATATCTAATATTTATAAAGTAAATTAACACCCTACTTGATAACACGCAAAGGATGATAAATAATGAATTATCCTTTTCATCAATCTGACCACATAATGTTTATTTCACTCTAATATTAAGTACTGCACAAGACTATTGTAATTCCCCATGGCAAGTTAAATCGAACAGGATGATACAAAGGATCACTAAAGTGAAGCCCACAGAAAATTAGAGTCAGGATAGATTCAACAAAAATGCTAATTAATGGTTATATTAGGAATTAACCACCTGTTGCTGTCAAGAAGTGGAGCAGGATTGTACTTTTGCAAGTGCAAATAAGAGATCAAACCACGATTCTGAGTCACTGCTACAGTCGTTATAACTGCCCACATCCTGACTAAGCAAATCCTCCTGCCATTTTAGCTGTACAGGGGCCTTTTCCTCCTGCACTTGTGGACTTGGATCTTTTGGCCTTTTCCTAAAGACTATTTCTATCCTCATATTCTATCCCCAGTCTTTAAAGGTGACTGATTACAGATAGGTTAATGTGCAAACACATCTGACACACTGCTGAAAACATTGTTTCAAGTTGACAAGAAAACGCACCTGCTTTAAATGAAAATCAATCTCTGTTAATAGCATTACCTTAAGAACTCCAGGAGAGGTGGGCTGGAGCAGTGCTATTACAGAACCAGGCACCTAGCTCTGAAAGATGCAGATCAGCTTGGCCTGCAGCGCATCTGATGGAGCACAAATAGACAACAGAGGCAGACATAGGCTGATCGTGTTTCTAACAGGCTTCTTGGTACGTTATCTTTCCTTTCTGGAAAGGAGGACTTAAGAACAAGGTCTGTTGAGGAAATGCTCTCAGCTGTGCACAGTTAATTCATTTCTGAGCACTTTGTCCTGACTTCAACACTGTGTAAGGTTCAGTTATCACACACTTCGAGACCCATTCAATCTGGGGATCTGTTTATGTCACAGGAAGCAGCGAGAACTAGGAGTAAATTCCTCCAACACAAGAATAACATGGGAGTCCAAAAGGCTTTCACACTGACTGACTCTAGTCATAAGCTTGATGTTATTTGTAGAGCTAGAGAATCTCCCATGTTACATGTAAGACAGCTAATCAAGAGCAATGAAAGAACAACTATGAATTAGAACAACTTCCAGACAAATAATTTTGTCTCACTAGAATTCATAATCCAGGTTGTACAGAAGTGTGTTTAGTGCCCCTTAATAGCAGACCTCCTAAATGGATATTTATTCCTGGGAAATACATTAGGAGAAGAAGTAGCAACAAATATTTTTATATTGAACTCTGTTATCAGATCTACGATAAAATGTTTTTACCTCTAAAACTTACTTACTCGATTAAAGTGTTGAAGTTTATCAATTAAATTACTGATGAGCGGGTCAAGTCCTCTGACTTTCAATTCTGGGTTATTAAGTTGTGCCTTCAATCCATTGGTAACAACTCTGTTGGTATAGCTGAAAAAGAAAACAAGAACAAAACATTAGTGACTCAAAACATACCCAATACAGAATCAAGAGACATATTAAAGAGAGCTTATAACAAACAAATATTCTGTAAATAAAAATAGTAATTTGTAATTCATGTTTATGGTTCTTTAAATGCACCAAACCAGAATACAAGCACACAGTTTCTTGCAGGGTCAGCACTTCAAACTATTCAAGTCATGAACCAACATGGATTTCAGAAACCACACATGGCTGCTGCTTATTCATATTTTAATATGGTGTGGTTGGGTGCTACTTGCTGGCACTGTAGCTGGCATCTCTCTTTCAGAGAGATTGCTTCTGTAGCAAAACTGAGCTGAGAAAGGCTCGCGTGGGCTTGAAGGGTGAATTCCTGTGACAGAGGGGAGGAGACAGGACAGAGAACTGGAAAATACACACTGTAGTTACAGTATGTATTTCATACATGCAAGAACAATGGTAATTATATTAGACTTAGATTTTAGCTAATTCAGCTCATCACAGGTATACAAATGGATAAAAAGCTATTTACACACTGGACTGCATTTTAACTGAAGTCACCCGTTTTATTTTCTATATAAATATAGATAAAGTATGTATTTGTATCTAAACACTTATTTTCAAATAAAATCAGATCCTATTTGACATTCTATGTTTTTTCTAGCTTGTAATATGAAAAGAGATTATGGAACCAGATTCCTTCAAAGCCAAACATACCTCTTTAGATAGCTCAGGACTTTGAAAGCCACACACAAAACAAAGCATTTCAGATTTCAAAGGCAAACAAGTGGAGGAACTGCATTAGCAATAGTTCCAACTAGCAATGATATTTAGCCACAGAGGCCTGGGGAACAGAGTGCTGTTTTCACACTATTTCCTCCCCTCTTGCCCACAGGAGACAACTTTCGATACAAGTGTCTGTTCAAAGCTCTTTGGGCAGCATTGCCAAGTATTATTGATCAACCTCCAGCTGGGAGACTATTTCCATTACTCCGCTTCCCTTGGGGTAGTATTACTCCAAGTCGTGCCACTAACAGCCACTAAGCTCCCCAGTGCTTTGATCCCGTGGCTAATGGTCTGTATTTCTCCTGACTGAAGGCAGCTCTGCCATATGTGCTCGCGGCAGGGATTAAGGAGAGCAGCAAACCGGACCAAACTCCGTATGCTCCACCACGTGCACTGCAACTTTCAGAAGAATCTGCCCTGCAAATCCAGCATGTTCTGACCCTGAGCTGCACCTGAACACAATTCTATTCATTTTAGTCCTATTTTTTTCTCTTATTTGCCCCCAATACAGCTGCTTGTCACAATTTTTATTTGCCCTACAACCTTACTATCTTCAGAGTTGAGTCAGTATAGAGTAATACACCCTAACTATGAAAATAGAGGTACTCTTGCTGAGATTTTTCAGATTTGCTAGCCAGATCCTGCTTAGATAACTATGGAGAAGAAATTACTGAAGAAATTATTTGAAAACACACATATACATCTCACAGCTGTCTTGCATTTCTCCATCATTTTTGTTGACACTGGCTGCACAATTCTGCTGTGATCAACAAAGACCAGAACACCAGTGTTTTCCTGAGACCTACCAGCACATTCAAACTTCTACTGACTGAAAGGCTACTGACTCTTAAGAGTCATATTAATCTATTCCTAGATTTATAAAAATGGATTTTTCCTATTTCCTTGACAAATACATAAACTATTCTGTAAAAAAAGCAACAGCAAACAGCCCTCCCCAGTTCCTCCTCAGAAAATTACAGGAAAAAAAATGCAGACTGGGCTATCTATAAAAATGTTTTCTCGGCCCTCTGAGATTAACAGCTGCCCAGCAGCCTGCTGAAGTGAGAGCAGTCTGAAACAAGTAAGCTGCTAATTCTATAACCAACAAAAACATAAGATCACTGAAACAAAGGTAGACTGTACAAAAATGGTTTTAACATCCAGCTCTGCTTTCTTCATTTTTGTGTTTAACGTCTTAAGCAGGAAGCTATTCTTGAGATATATGTTGCCTGTAAAGCCACCCGGAAGCAAACAGCACCATGCAAATAATAACTGTAATGAATTAGAATGATGTATTTTCAGGCCCATATGTTTTCAAGACAGTCATTCACTGTAAGCTCTTATTTGGTTCAAAAAAATGTGAAGTAGCCTGTTTATTCCAGTAAGATACTCAACACGATTTCATAGCCAACACCACCCACCACCACCAAATGACTCAGAGGTTAAAGGGTTAGAGGAGCAGAAGGAAAGGAAGAGCTTCAAATGTGTCACTTAGCAAGAAGCTACAAGAAATATGGATAAGCTATTTAACTGGTTTTGAGATCCATTGAACAATTAATTCAGTTACATTAGGCATAGTTCACCAGATGGTGAGTTTTGTCTTATATTTATTCATAATCTGACCCTGGGGTTGGAATGGCTTGCCTGAAATTCAATTATCTGAATCCACTGCTGATCTACACCAGCTTGATGGGTCTCTAAATTCATCATTTTGGGACGTTTCTCTTGTAATTTTTAGATGCAGCCCTTGGCACACGTGACACTTTGACCCACAGGGCTCTATCACAAATGATTCTCTTCCAATCCAAGGCACACAGAAGTGTGCAGTGACAAGAAAACTATATGGCTGAAGAATGTGTTTGAAATAATTAATCAAGATTACCAGCTTTGATCCAATTAGCTGTTCTACCCACATTTCTTCACGAAGTAGAAAGACACGCAGAATATATAACAGCCTTACGTGCCTTGCTTCATTATATTTACAAGTGACTCAGTGAATACCTTCAGGGAAGCAAAGCGTCTTTTGCCAGAAGTATTACTGTCGTGTAAAACAATCCTCACAAGCAAAAGTCACCCAAAGCAGGATCCTTCTTTTCCTCAGCTGCCCCTAGGCCGGGCCTTAAGCTGATACTGTCAGGGGGTGAACTCCTCCAAGCACCTTCAGAGCACCCTCATGAACACCGACCAACACAGGCACGCACTGTGCTTCCTCTCCAAGCAATTCCCTCTACTGCCTTATCTGGAGTTCTGGCTAGTTCTGTCCTCCCGCTTACAGGTCTAAATTGGCAATTAGCTCCATTAGTTTGAATGGATATACTCCACATTTACAGAAGGGGTATCAGTTGGGCATCCACTTGCACAGCTACAGCAAGAATTGCACGAAGTAGCAGAGCAAGGTCATCTCTAACAAACCAGGATCCCTCAATAATACACTACTAGCGCACATGTGGAGTTCTGCAAAGATCCACCTTTTACAGACACTTGTGTGCAGGAAGCCACGACTTCTTGGCTAACTTGAAATGCAGGTGTGTGTATGCACATGCATATTTACTTTTGGGGCTGGTTTGTTCGTAATTAAAGGAAAAAGCATGTGATTTAGACCAATGTAAAGCAGAAGTCTTCTACTGAAGCCAGTGGATTCAGAGTAGAGCTCCACAAAATCCAGATATATCACAGGAAAGCCAGACTCTTTCTCCATACAGAAAAATTCCATGCCTTCTAAATAACCAAGTGAACATAACTAGAAAATACTCTCCAAGATTTATCAGTCTAAAAACACCTATATAAAGAATTCATTCTGCAATGATGAAATTATTGCCAATATCCCACAAGAAGATTCCAGCCGAGAACAGGATGAGTTCAGCTGCCCTGAAGGTTCTGCATGCAGAACTGACACAATGTGAACACGGCCTCTGCCGGAGCTATTCCAATGGCTTTCATAAGGAATTTCCCAAATCATCTTGTTTATTCATAGTTACAGGAAACAATGAGACAAATACAGTTTGCCAATTGGCTCATGTGATAATATTTCCCAAAGCCAAATAGCATTTATTTCTCTGCTTCCATAGGGATAAAAAAAAAAAAAAAAAAAAAAAAACTCTTACAGACTAAAATCTAAAGACAATTTCAAGACTGTGGGTTCAAGAGCAAGCTACCGGGTTTCAAATGACTGGATGATGCCACCCCATGAAGAGAATCAAACTGCACACAAAGAGTCACAGGGAAAAGCAATTCAGCTACTGAGTGCACATGCAACAGATCTTACCCACAAACCAAATGTGTTCATCTGCTCCCCAGAAACATGCTGAAAATATACTGAGTTGAGCTTCAAAGAGTACTTGTAAAATGCTTCAAAACTGTTGTAAAAAAATTATTAGGGATTGTAGGTGAAATGGCCTACTTTCTTTTCCTAGGTACATGAAAAGTTAATACTACCTTCAAGGCACACGGAAAGCACCAAGAAATTTGTAAAAGTTAATTGGACAGTCTTTATTCTGTCAAGGGAAGGAATGTATTTGCCTGAAATAACAGCACGTAGGCAGACTCTTCAGTTTAAAGTGGAATAACCTCAGAAGGGCACTTAAATGGTAATTCTATACCCGAAATGAAAATAATGAGCATTAAAAATGATACAAACCCCAAAGCTGATAAGCTAACTAGGAACTGGCAGCACAAAGTCCATTCCCCACAAGTGAATTATTGAGACACAGGACAGAGGAGAGGACAACAAGGCAGCACACACTTATCAAGGCAACGTCTGTGGGATGTCCTAGGGGACAAAGTAAAACAAATCTGGGACACCTTTTTCTCAGAGCATGGGCATACATTTTTCAAGTACAAACAGCAGGAGAGAGCTGAGCCCGGCGCTGACAGAGAGGGGGGCTCTGCAGCTCTGGGGGCTGGGGAAAAGGAAGGACAAAATTCAGTTGACGGACTTTTTAACTTGACAGATGGACAACACTGGTGGAAAATAGGTCTGACTGAGCACAAAAGAAATACACCGTCTCAGGCGAGGGGAGCCTGTGAGCTCTCAGAAAAAAATAAAGGCAGGCTAGGAACAAACTTTATAGCAGTAGAGAGAGCACAGAAATCCAGTAAGTGCTCATAATATTTTGTTGATAAAAGTTCTGGCAGGGCAAGAAGGTCAGGATCCAGCTCCTCTTATGGAATGCCAGACAGCTATTACTTAAAAACTAGGCTTAACA